GTACAGATTTTTCACAAAACATCATATGTAATTTTACATAAGTGAATCATTTTTATTGAAATCGGGTCACATTTTGTTACGTTTAAAATATTGACAACCACTGGCTATAGATTTCTCTAGACCAGTCATGATGTGAGAGTCTAATCAATCGTTCTAGAACCCACAAGAAACACATATAATAATAAAAAAATGTTCATTGTGGTAAACAAAATAATAATTTGATCTAAGTAAGAATTTTTTTTTCTTCTGAATTACAAAAAAATCCTTACGTGATTGAAAAAAATTAATATTTTTGAAATCTGTGTAGCTGAATTATGGAAAATTTGTTATTAAAACCAAAACAACTTTTATCAAGTTTAAATTTGCAGGCCTGTATTATTAAATAACATGAGACTGAAAGTCATAATTTTCACTTACAAGGTAGAATCTAAAGTTGTCTGTCCCTTTTAGATGCCAATGTAAGAATAGTAAATGATAGTTATCATAACGTATACATAAACTCCACCATGCGCATAATATCAAATCATCACAGGCCACAAAATATTTCCACCTACTTTACCTTAGTATACTGAGCTATAAATTTTTGTACTCAAAAACAAAAAACCTACATTCTGAACTGAATTATTTTGTCTCTCAAATTGCTACTGAAATAACTTATGTGGTAACTTAAAAACTGATGTAAAACCAATATCTGAACCTTTACATAAGCGTTACTACCTAATTTGAAACAAGTACTACAGAATGAACAATAAACAAGGTGTATATGGTATTTCATGTGAATATAATAGGAAATATAAGGGACAAACCTCCCTTTCTTTGGAAATCAGATGTGAAGAACAAGGTTACATGCACAGAAGTGAATTTGAAAAATCTGCCCTAATATGGTCATAAATGCCTTAGGATAAAAAATTCTCTCTTACATCAACTCAAAAATAAAACAAGAATGTGATTGTTTATAAACTATTGAAATTATAAGAGCAGGTGACTTAGCCCTACACTATGACAGTAGTCGGGGTAACATTGGCAAACTTTGGTTGACTTTATTCTCTTGGTATTCTTTCCCACACTTCATCAGCCCTTCCAGTTCCCTTAAGTGACAAAACTTGCTTATAAAATGTTAATATGTTCTCGTGACAACATCCCTTTGAGGTAATTGTCTTTGTATATGAACTGTGTATGCTTACTTTTGTGTCATATCTGAAGAAGACAGACCAAAGTACTGTTAAAACATATGTTTCTATGCAAGTACCTTTTTGCTTACAAATCAATGTTTGTTAATTTACTGCTGTATTAGCATAATGTGCTTCTGCACATAAGTACACTAATATTATCATATAGACTTACAAAACTTAATTAACAATTTTAAGAAAGAGATCATACAACTAAACAACCATTATGAAAGATGTAACCATATTTTCTACAGATAAATTTATGATGGGGATTAAACTTATGTAGTGAAACTGTAAATCAGATTGTGTTTCATCTTAAAAAATCTCTACATATATTTAGAATTAGTATTAAGTCAGTTCTTGTTTATTTTGGTTCTCTACCTTTGTCATTAGATGCGAGTAAATTTTAAGTTTTGAAGGATATATATATTCCTAAAACTAATGTGATTAAACCCTAATGATTCATCTGTTGATAGGTGTCAGTATAATAAACATTCTTGTAGAAGTTTCATTATCTCTCAATCATGACTAATTTTTCAATAAGATGGACTTGTTTGAAAGGAACAATCAGGTTTTTCTTTTTTTTTGCTTGTGTTATTTCATATAACTTGAAACTACTATAAATGAACTGTAAGTAAACGCAAAGAAAAATATGTAACATGTCAACTACACAATATCTGCCATATCCAGTGCTGACAAAGCCTTTCACCCAATACTGAGGAATGATCACAAATGTAATGTTTTGTTGCTTTCTAAATATGGATTAACATCAATCTTATCAATAAATTTTGAATAAAAGGAATGTTTTCAGCTTGGTGTGATATCTTTGGCTAGGCTTGTTAACTTGGGATATATCTCTTCCAGTGTCACATTTTAAGAAACTTGATATATTTCTACTCTTAATTGTTCAGATCTGATAAAGTTTCTGTATGGTATCATTTTTCATCTTTTCCAAAGGCTGTTGCAGAAACTGGTGCCACAGCATCTGTAATCTATGTCCCAGCACCATTTGCAGCAAAAGCTATTGATGAAGCTATAGATGCAGAGGTTCCACTGGTGGTATGTATAACTGAAGGTATTCCCCAGTTGGACATGGTCAGAATTAAGCATCGTCTTCTACAACAGTCAAAAACCAGATTGATTGGGCCCAACTGTCCTGGTATCATAAAGGTGTGAACATTTCAGCTGTTGTGTTATTTTTTTTTGTTTTTGAGAAAAGATACTTTTTGTAGTGTCCAAAACTTTTTTATTGTGCTGTTCAAAGTGTACTAAATTATTTAAGAGTATGTGTATTAAACTGTCACAAGTAAAATAGGTATTTTTATGAACAAGTGATTTAACTTTGTGCTATATAGGTATTTATGTTCTTAAAAATTCCATACTGATTAAACCAAGTGTTATATATGTATAATTACAACTGTATTCTATTTGTTTAATTATAATCCATTCCAAACACGTAGTCAATAATAATCCAGGTTGGAATGGGTGAGTTGTTAGATGTAACAAGAACTAGAGTAAGTGATAACTATTTCGGTTATAAGTAAATTAACTATTGGATGATTCAGTAGTCCATTGTCAGGTGAATAATTCAGAAATGGGAAGGTATACAAAAATATTTGTTAATGGTATGGAATGAGGCATTGTGAGTCTATCCTGTGACAATATCAAGGTATTGCCCTTCAAAAATTTTATTGATATGCATCATACAAAGATATAGACAGTAATAAATGAACAACTTTAAACTGCTCCACAACAACAGTTACACATAAATACAGGTGATATAAACATATCAACAGTTGTGTTCAAATGTGACAGGTGCTAATATGGTAGCTTCAGTATTGGTTGCTGTTCTTGGTTTCCACTAATTTGCTATGGATAGATTTCAATCTGCATGTAGGGGGTGCAATTGTATGTAACTGTTGTTCTTGAAGAGCAATTTTGGTAATTTCTGACTGTAAATGTTTTATTTGCTACTATTCACACCTTTGCCATTGACATTTTGGGTGTCTGATGCTTATTAATAAACTTTCTGAAGGACATCACCTTGAATATCCTCAATGGTATTGTCAGAGAGTAGGTACATAATACCTCATTCTGTATCATTAACAGTTACTTTTCTATACCCCACCAGTTCTGAATTATTTGCCCATCAATGGGTTTCTCAATCACTCTGTATCCTTATTACAAAAATGGAATTGAAACAGATGTTTTTAGATTTTAGAATAATTATGTTTTATGAAACCCCTCCTATGTACTCAGTAATTAAATGATATAAGACATGTGTCAGAGAAAAAACATTCTAAAATACTATACATTTCACTGGCTAGAAAGACTTGAAAAAGGCAAGTGGAGGGTGTGCAGTGCAGAGTACGTAAAGTTCTTTTAGTTGTTATGTCTTCATATACTGTAATGTTTTTTTTCAGCTTTTAACTCTCTCCAATACACTTAGTACTTGAGTTGTTATAAATTTGAATTTAGTACTACATTGTTTATGGGTAAATACTGATAAAGTTAGTACAATTTAGTTTTCATGTATTTTATCAGCCAGGAGAGTGCAAGATTGGAATTATGCCAGGACACATACATGAGAAAGGAAAAATTGCTATTGTATCACGGTCTGGAACTCTTACTTATGAAGCTGTACATCAAACAACCCAAGTAGGCTTGGGACAAACATTATGTGTTGGAATTGGTGGAGATCCTTTCAATGGGACAAACTTCAGAGATTGTCTTGAAGTATTTCTTAATGATCCAGAAACTAAAGGTGAGAAATTGATTCAAATTACATTTTTTTTTTGTTTGTATGAAAATTATTTTAGGAGTTAATTAATTATAACATTTAGTATCCCACAATAAAAAAAGTCAGTATTTGCTGGTTCAATTTTTTTAAACCTTTTTCAAAAATACAAGCTAAAAAACTATAATATCATATATACACATACATTTTGTTTTGATATATATGTAATTTTATAATTACTTTAGCAAAAGCTGGTTTTTTAAAGTTTTAGTTGTTTCTTTGAAAATATTTTCAAGGATAAAAACAGCAATTTAAATGTTTGGCTGGACCTAGGAACCAGCCCGTTAAAGGCCTTAGAAGCTAGGGGTGACTACATGCTCTCTTGTGTATTCTAGGCCATTATTGACTGCTAGGATGATCAGTAAATGTTGGACTTTTGCTCTTGTTACAATGATAAAAAATTACAGATAAGTTAACATACAATCTGGTTTCATGAAATATTTAGACAGATATTACATTTAAATGTTTGTAATTGCAGTAATTAGACAAGTTAACTACAAGTTGGTCATTTCATGAAATATTGATACAATATTTTGTACTACTTAGTTTCCAGTAGGTCAAGTTATGGACCAATCATTTATGAATGCATTGTTCATTTTTCCTGAAAAATTTTTTTTGTGTGTGTGTTTGAAATTCTGGTTCCATAATTTCACTCTCCAGTGTATAAAATAACTTATGAGTGTAAGAATAATTTTGGAATCTGTGATATTCAGTATGTTTTCACTTGTTTGAAAACAATTTTGAGATTTTTGTTCTATACCTGCCCTCCCTAACTTTTATCAGACTGTGTCTATCTTTTGCTTGAGAGAAAGAAGGCTTAGATAGAGAAGAGTATATTTAAAATGCATTATTAATGGACTGCATCTCTCTGGAATATTTTGGATGATATTTCAAGCTGCTAGCACAAATCTTCATCTTATGAAGCTCTGTGCCAGCACCTCAAAATATTGTTCAAACTTCCTAGACAGATACAGTCCATTAACAAAGAGCCTTTTAATGGCTCAGTGAAAATAAGGCTTATAAAGCTAAAAAAAGGGGTTTGACAAATGTGGTTCGTCAGATAGCTCATTATATAGCAAGAAAGTCTTTCTGTTAATTTAGGCTCTATCTAAACAAGTTCACTGATAAGAGAAAAATGTTTATTGTCTTTTCAATGTAATTCTAAACAAATGAGCAAAAACTACACACCATTAAAGTAGATGGCAAAAGATTTAAGGCTTAGCTCTAGGCTGATTCTTTTTAGTCATTTGCCATTATACCTTGTGATTGGTTAAATATCCATTAATCAGCTAGTTAAAAGGATCATTGTTTTTGGTTTAGCATGAACATCAGAGTAATAGGCTTCTATATCAGCATTCCCACCCCTCCAACATTTTTTTCACCAGAGTTGTACAAATTGGGGGTAGGGCGAGATGACAAATTTGACAATAAAAATGATAGAAATCTGCCATTTCCCATCCTTTTATAAGATTTGTATTATAATTGAAAAAATATCAGCATATTGTGATAATATATAAACAGTAGTTTTTTTAATAGCCTTGATGCATATTATAAACTACAAGGAAGATAAGTAGTGACCGAATTTTCCATTTTAATGGATCAAAAAGCAGATTTATGAACAGCTTAGTGTGTATGATTGAAATAAAATTATTGCTTCAGAAACAAAATCTCAAATTCTACTAAAAATTTACAATTATTGTATTGTAATGCATATTTTACAATTAAATTAGTAAAGTTTATGAACTTGGGACTTCCTTTGGTGATCTATTCTAAACATGACACTTTCATATGATTAAGCATTTATGGTTTTAAAATTTGTAGCTGAAGATATTTTCTCTTATTTCAGTTAAGTTTGTATCATCAACAATAATCATAATACTGCTCGTGTTAGCATTCTACTGTTTTTTTTCTTTTTCTTATTATATATGAAGATGTAGTGTCACTATAAGAACCAAAATCTATCACTTTACACAACCTAGTCATTAATCAATCTCTTAACTTTAGATGTATAATTGGCTTCAAACAAGTTTTATACAGTGGATAAGATTACGAGAAATTATGGTTTACTTCTTAAAAATGCTGTACTTATAGTATTGTTTTGTTCTCAAGAATAACATGTAGCTAGATTATGTTATCAAAATTATATCCAACTTACTCCTTACCACATGACAATATTCACTATACAAGTTATTTATTGGATTAGATTTCATCTCCTCCCATGGTGTTTTATTTTTCCTAATTTTTAGGCATAATTCTTATTGGTGAGATTGGTGGTGGAGCCGAGGAAAGAGCAGCAGAATATTTAATGGATCACAATAAGGTATTTTGATCCCATGAAAGTTCTTAATTCAAGATACAGTCATATCATTCTAATAACACTGATGATTTGGAAGAAATTTAACCATAAAAGAATCTGAAGTGTTATGCAGTAAATACATGGATGGTTTTTTTCTTTGTAGTTCTTATTTTGTCAATTTGTGTAAATTGTTGAAAACTTCCCATAAACATTTGTATGTATAGTTATTATTTAGTTATCTAAAAAGTTATTAAACATCTTTAATTGTTTTAAACACTTGTACCTCAAGATCAGTAGGATTGTGTAATAAAATATGCATTACCTTTAGCATATGATGCTCTGCATCATGGATTTAACATGAGACATTTCATCCACCATATTATTTCGTAGCTCTACACTATTGTATTTTTAACTATCTAAAAAAAATCAAATGATGCATCCACCTGTATACTTTGTGCTTGTAACTGCATAAAAATATATTGTATTCAATATTATATTTTAAATAATGTCTATTCAACTGCATAAAAAGAAATACCAAGATTGATGTTCATTGCTGACATTCTAATGCTACTTAAATTATCTATCAGTTCCTAAAACCTTAAAAATAATTAGGCTTTCAGCATTTCTAAATCATGCAAAAAATATATAAGTGTATTTTACATATTATTTTAAGTTTTCTTCAGAGGCCTTTATCCCCTTCACTGTGGCTGGGATGTATAGTTCCCAGTGTACTGGGAAATATACATCCCTGCTGCAGTGAAAGGGTTAAACCTGAAAATCTGATGTATTGGATTTCAAGCTTCAAAATCATGAGAAATATATGGTGATAAAGTAGATATCAGAGAAGTTATCAAAATGCCACTGAATCCTTGAAGATAGTTTTTTATTTTTATAAAAATGAAAAAATATTTTTTTAAATTCTCGGTGCTTTGAACTTCAACTATACTACACGATATCAAAATTATGTTAACATTTTCAGTACAGGTAACTATAAACATATATGAGAAAGTATACTAACACCAACTTGTTTATAGGGTAGTAATTCTGCTAAACCTGTGGTATCCTTTATTGCTGGGCTAACTGCACCTCCAGGAAGAAGAATGGGGCATGCTGGAGCTATTATTGCTGGAGGGAAAGGTGGTGCAAAGGAGAAGATCGAAGCTTTGAAGGCAGCTGATGTAATTGTCACGAAATCTCCTGCACAAATGGGGGCAGTAATGTATCAAGTATGTAAAAAAAATTATACACCTTATTTACGTATGGCTGATGTCACTGTTTTGGGGACTTTGGTGAAAAACAATGAACTTCAAAATGCTTTTAAGTTTTAATATATTGGGATAAGAAGATATATTTTGTATATTAACATATAGCTCTCTTTTTTTTTTATATTTTGACACTGACAACTCAAAATATTAGGATTTTAGTACATATTCTCCAATGGTATCATGCAAGCCATTTGAAAATGAATCATTAGTTGTTTTTGTTTTATAGGGAAGGAACTGTTGTAGTTATCTAATTGGTTAATGCAGCCACTTTGTGTTTGGTCCAGGGTTGCAAGCTGTCTGCACTGAGACAACATTTTATTTAACTCTCTCAACATGGGCTCAGTAAATTTGACTGACCATGTCGCCTCTTTGTACTTGTATAAAGTCTTTATAGATCTGATACTATATCTTTTAGTATAGTATGTATATCTTCAAAAAATTTGGCAGTCTTTCACATACAAAAAATCTTTTTTCTGAAGTATTTTAAATAAATTAAAAAAATATTTGTTTTTTAATAGTCCCATGTGCAAAGTGATTTTCATGTTAAAATACCTTTCAAAACTTTCAG